AAATATTTAGTCTTAATTTAAAAATTTCTGCAATCTCAGGCAATAATTTTGAATCTGTGGAATTTAGCCACATGTAGGTATCTGAGTATGATAACTTTGTGTATAAAATCTAATGATCACTGAGCGTTGTGGCAGTCAGTAGTAAATCTCCATCAGCTTCGAAGTGGAAGTTGTTTGTGGTTATTTCTTCACTCTAAAGAATGTTTTTAATTAATCACAGAACACTGACAGACACAATAGCACGGAATGTTTGAATGTCATTCTGCTGGAAAATACTACTAAGAACAGCCAGTTCTGTGGCCAGTTCTGTGCCAGGCCAGGATATTCACCTGAATAAACCCTGCTTTGGGAGCAGCTAACAGTGACTGCCAAAGAAAGAACCTAAGAACAGTGCTATTCCAAGGATACCCTTTCCCAGCTGTCCCAGCCTTTAGCTCAGGGACTTTTCTAAACCGGATACTGTTTTATGTTTAATCTAAACTTTTATTGCATGCATTTCTTGTGTTGAATTTGAGCTAGTGTGAAGTTAGTTTTGTTAGTCAAAAAAGTTGCCAACAAATTTCAAAATCTGCTCTGTGAAAATATAGTAGTTTACTTTTAAGCTGCATCCTCATGAGTCTGTGGATCTGCCTCTGTATGAAAAACGGTGAATAATTATACACAATCCTCTGCAGCATTTGTGATTTTAGAGGCCACTGCCATAGCCACCCTCACCTCTCTCTCCTGTAGACTGAAGAACTAATTCCACCCTACACATTTGCACCTGAAACAAAAGATACTTATGTCTTTAAGTATGCTGTTGACTCTCTCTGTTACTTGATAAGAGATCATGCTTCAAGTCAAGTCCTCTGTAAATCCAAATGGACTACTGAATCACCTTGTCCCCATATTCACCAACTCCTCTGAAGAATATGAAAGCGAATTGTCTAAAATAGCCAAACTGATGTTTGAAGTCTATCTGTTGACAGCACTATTTATAGAGACCTTTTTGGGGGACACCTCCTCCCCGTAAAAATCAACCCCAAAACAATATACCAAAACCCCCAAATTGTCATCTCTTATTCAGGTAGAGAGAGTTTTAAGCAAAATGATTAAGCCACAGACAACAGTTACAGAGTTTCAAATCTGAATTCCTTCAAGACTCTCACAAAACAACTGTCTCACTTTTGTATTTATTCTAATCAACTTGTCCAAGAAGATTTTCATTTGCATTTTCTACGCAGGATGGGTTCAAGACAGGGACTCTTCTACCTTCCCTCACAATGAATGTGGATGTGAATAATCAATATTTTAAATCCAATTGAAGTCCAAATTTTAATACCATTTCAAAATAATTTGCCCTTTTTTGTTCTGTTAAGTTGCTGTAGGCACATTTATCTCAGCAATCTCGTGATGTTGCTGATAAACTCCAGCATTAATCTAGTACCAATTAAAGAGAAATCCCTCTCAGAATGTATGAGTAAGAACGAGGACTTATCAAAGCAAGCTGCCTTACCAGACATACCATATCTTAATATACAACTGCCAAAAATTATTTTTTTAGGCTATTTCAGGTCTCTTTATTTGCACTTTTTTCCCTTTTGGAATATCAACGAATGTTGGCATGCCCAGTAACCAAACACAAGTTCAGATAATGGTATCTCTGGCAAAACCAAACTGCACAAGTTCCTGGTGAGGAATTACAGACAAAAGCTAAAATTAGTCCAAATTAGCTTCTCATTTTCTACCACATGACAAAACTCTGCAGATAAGGGTAATTAAATTTTCCATTTCATAGTATCACTTAATAGTCTGATTTGTTTCAAATTATCCATCAAACTGCAGTTGAGGAATACACTGATAGCAATCTGAAACTGTGCTTTTAGTTTCCTGACAGTCTTTAGGTTCCATTACAACATCACGATTTTGGGAATCGCAGTGCCCTTGACTATAATAGAAAAATTGTTTGCTGGAATTAAGAACACTGCCAATCTTCAAAATAACTTGGTAGCCTGCGAATGTCATTTTATCCCAACACAACTATGCAAAATATATCACAGTATTTGCAGGTATGCACCCACATTTTGCAGTGAGTCCTACACTCCAAAGTAGATACTGTTGTCTGTAGCCAGCGATAGAACAGGCGTACAGGGAGTGTTAACTTGCAGCACTTCAATTTGGCTGAGGTGAAAAAAACAGCATTAAAGACTAGGACCATTCTGAGCAGTCAGCAGACAGCTAAACAGGATTGCTTTGTGTTTTGTTTTTCTGTGGCTCATCACTGAACTGATGTAAACAGGGATATACTTAAGAGAACAGAATTCACTGCAAGGAACTTGGGAGGAAGGGGGAAAATGCAAACATGGAATAGGAAAAAAAAAAAGAGGGCGCTTATCAGTAAAGGTAAAATTTCACCAAAATACTCCTGATTTTAAACAGAACTTAGAGTACTGGAGTGGCCAACCTTTCAAAACTCATGTATGAACATTTTCATGGGATCAAGAAACTTTAAAAAAAATAAAAAAAAGATACATGCCTTGTAGCGCTGATAGTACTAGCATAGTAGTAGCATATGGGAAGAAAAAGATGATGATGTTGGTTCTTCCTTAAAGCAAGGAACTTTCATAAGATTTGACAGGAATAATCCAAACCTCATTGTGACAAGTAGTTGGCTGAGACAGCAATGACAGATAATAAACCTTTTTCAGAAAACTGGTGATACTATGGATTAATTCACTAGAACTGGGACAGGACTTTGTCCAGTAGCAGAGTTCTGCCTCCAGAACTCCACACAATCTATCTACACAAGTCCAGTAAAGACTTTCCACAAGCTTTGAATAGTTGGATATAGCACAGCTACATCTACCACTAAGATGAATCTCTAATCTAATTTGTTATTTGTATTAGCCTTCAGTCCTCAAAATCTATTTAGATTTCCATTTTCAAATCAATGGTTGAGGACACTAGAACAACTAATTACGGCAGTTTACCTGTTCTGCCTTTTGTTTGGACATATTCTAGATTTGGGAGCAATGTTACCTGCCATAAGACACTGCAGAGCAGATAGAAGCAGAGTTCATCAAGGAAACATCCACTACTGCAGGTGCTTCACTAAAGACAGTCAGATCATCTTGTACAATTTCAGTTCCAGCCTAGTGCCATAGTATTCTGATAAGCTAATAAAAAGGTAATGAAGTTTGGTATCTAGTAGATATTTTAATCTCTAAAATCTTCCACTGGTCCTCTGCAAACTCCTGCACTCAGTTTCACTTCTAGGGTTTGAAGACTATAGTGGCGATAATCAACTCTCTTCCATTGTCAGTGTGCTCCTTCTTAAGAAGCCATCCAACAGGAGAAAAAAATTCCAAGTCCTAGAAAAGTGATCGGAAGAAAAGAAGGCCTGGGCTCAAGTATGACTTAAAGACTTCAAGGTGGGGTGCACTGTAAAGAATCACAATGAACATATGCAGTAAAATTAAAAAAAAAAAAAAGAAGAAAAAAAAGGGGGGGGGAAAAAGCTTTCTTCCTCAGGAAGGGAGTGGGAATTACATTCTCCTTTGATTACTTCCATTATCTTAGCAGGAGAAAAAGAAACTGTGCTCTATGTGAAACGGATTCTAGTTTCAAGAAGTACAGATTAACATACAGCAATTTCCTATATTAGGTGTTCAAAGATAATGCTGGGTACCTAACATTTATCAGTCATTTCCCTGGACTACAAGATTTCAAAAAACAAGCTGTACATTTGCTGCATTAGATATCCAAGCAAATTTTAATGTTGACAATCTTACAAAGCCTGAAGACAATTAAGATCTTGCTGCTCTTCACTTGTAAAAGACAGACAAAAAGCCCCAACAAATGAACGGCTTTTCTTATTATGGTCTCCTTATTAAGATGAACATATTAAGCTTAGCCGGAATACAAAGAGATGCAGTAGATTCTGGACTGCAAGATTCCAGTTTGGAGCACTCTGGCGTTCCTGGAGGACTTTAGGCTCCATTGCACAATGCAGCATTCAAAATTCAATAGGAAGATGAATTGGAATAACAGTTCTTGTCTGTGATAGGAAAAGAGCGACATCAGCCAACTGGTTGATTACACTGAAACTGGGTCAAAAACAATGCTTTAAACAAATGTTAGCCAGCATATAGGGCAGCTGGATAAAACTGGAACAAGAATATAACCAACTCTGGGCAACGCAAGGCAGTTTTACGCCTTCTTTTAGCTGGAATTCAGTGTATAACACACCATTCTTTAGATCTACGTGAAAGGAACTGTCTCAACTGTTTCTTTTGTGACAGCTGGGATAAAACTCTGAGATACGTATGAAAAAGGTGTACCCTCCCCCAATTTGTAATAGATTTCACTGATCATGTGTCAATATCTCAATTTATTAAGTTAAAGGAAAAGTGAATAAATCAAAAGCCATAGATATGTAACCAAGGATTCCAAACATAATATTGTGCGTTATTAAAATTAATGATTTAATGTAATGTAAGACAAATCGAGTTTAGATTATATATTCAATGTTAAGGCTGAGATGCTATCACCACATCTCTTGTTAGGCAACAGGAAACCTCAATGCAGATAAACACGTAACTAGCAATAAAAAGAACTATAATTATATAATTAGTATATGCTGATCCTTTGTGAGGCACCTGATGCTCTTCTGACTTAATTTGTGCATATTTAACTGGTTTAGTTCCACTTTTGAAGAACATCACAGAGAAAAAAATGCAACCTCAATCTTTTGGACTAAACCTTCCCCATATCCAACACAAAACCCAGTGCCTTCTATTCCAGTCATGAATGCTTCTGGAATAATGACAACATTAATTTGGCAGAAATACATCTATAGACAACAGTCACAGTTATACTCAAATGTTACGTTTTATATATCATAATTTGCTCTTCAATTGACAAATTTCTCTTGTATAGAAAGAAAAAAACCCAGCTTCTATTGCAAGGCTGATAAGCTTAAACAAGACAGTGAATATAAAATTACCATCAAAGATAAACCATAATCTTTAACGTTGCAGTTTATTTCAAACATTCCTTTTGACAGATCCCCAGTACAGCAATTTTTTAGAAGTATGAACACTCCAAATCTCCTCTATTTATAGGGAAGTTTGTAACAGGTTCAATTGGAGACATCAAAAACATTTTAAATAGACATCACAAGATGCATCTGTAGTTTAAAGGTCAAATTTATTAGGAGATTAAGAGATGTATTATACATGGACTATAAATATAGCACAGCTGACTTTATTCGCAGTCAGACAGCCAATGCCAACCTATTTTGTAGACACCCTTGTTCTTTTGTTCCAAGAAAAGTTTGCACCATAAGACTTGGATTTAGGTTTTGGAATCTTCTTCTCTTCAACATCATAGCTCCAGCCTGGAGGTTACAGGGGAAATAGTGGGGGGAGACAAGAAACAAAGAGAATTCTAAATATTCTCAGCATACAATATAGAATAAATGTAACTTAAACCTTTTAACTTTAATATCTTTTTCTCCACATAGGCACCCACTAGATTATTCCTTTGTATCTGGCAGCAGAGAATACTGAAATGCTACAGATGTAACATATTCCTGTTCTCTCAGTTGGTAAAATTTCACCATACTACATCTCTCTTTTTGTTTTTGGTTTTTTTTTTTAACTCCTACAAAAAACTTGACAGTTGTAAGTGAAAAGCTCAACAGGAAACACTGACTGTCCTGCAAGTTCCTGGCTCCACAACCTCATAGCATCACAGAAGCACTAAGGCTCTGTGTATGCTAGAACAGGAAATGAAAATAGAGATTAGGAAATGTGGAAAAAAATAGCATATGAAAGATCAACCCCAAAGGTTGGGAGAGAATGGAGACCTTGGAAAGTTAGAGGAAAAAGATGGGTGCGAAGACCAAAGAAAGGAAGAGCAAAGAAAAAACTTCAGCATTAGAAAGGAGTTTAATACTTAACATTTTTATAAGAACATAAAAAATTAGGAGTAAAAGAAAAGGGAATGAAGTGATAGAAGACAAGTAAATTATGTGATAGTTAAGCAAGAGAAATGCTAAAAAATGTCAGAAAAGAGGAGGTGGAGACATTAGTGTTTATGTAAATCAAAATGCAAATTGGCTGCAGCCTCCAGGTGCCTGGAAAGTTGCCAGGGCAGCACTCAGTATTCCAAAGTTTGGTGTCTTTAACTGCAACATTTCACTCAAAGTTGAGATACTTGACTTGATGCTAGAAGTGGTTAAGTATCCAGTTTTAACTGATATTAGTAAGATGATACTTTTTCTTTCTTAGTTTTAAAACAAAAACTTGGTAAGTTCTAAAAGATTTAACATATATCCGAATTTTTAAATTTAAGATGTTCACAGAAAACACTCAAGATACATCTACATATCAAAACATGTTTTGTAAGATACACTTGTCATGTCACTGTGCCTCAATTTTGCATATTCACAAATGACACACCAACATTTTTTTCATGTTTATTAGGCTTGAACCAATGTAAATTTCCAAGTTAACTATTCTCCATCAGAAATATTCTTTCCATTTGTGAGAGCACTGGCTTTTGCCTCCTGTTCTGATTAAGAAGTATAAGCTTGAGTAAACAGCCAGAATTAGATCCAGAGACAGACTTTGGTATTGCAACATTCAGCATTAAAACACCTAACTGTGAGGCACTTGGCTGCTGGAATGGAATCTACAGCCCCAAGTTATTGCTTCATCTTTTTATACACTAGATAAAAAGGAACTGAGTGTCTCCAAAAGAGATTCACAACTGCCAACACAATGACTTGGGCTGCCATAGCTATCCAAAATCCACAAAGTTCGTTGTATCTAACTTTGGATTGCAAGAGGCCACCATATGTGAGAAGGTTTCACACTCTGGAACAGTCTCCTTGAGTTGGGCACCTTCAGCCGCTCAGGACACGGAGCAGAGGTCACTTTTACAAAAATACCACAACGGTGAGGGAGATTTTCTTGCCCAGAACTCTGCCATATGAGCCAAGTGGAAACAAGCAGATTTCATTGCCTGTGGAAGAACACCCTCATCACCTGACTAAAGGTTACTGTGGAATAGAAAAACTCTCCATCCCTGTTACTAAAGCTGTATGTTTTTAAACAACTGTCTCAGTCACGTTGGACAGGACAAAAAATAATTTAGATCTACAGGCTAAACATTTAGTTTCATCCAGTTACAATTGCTTCCCTCCTGGCCTCAACTGCAGACCATCCTCAGCTGTCAGATTGTGGACAGAGACCTCTCCCGTCACTGTATTCAGTGCTGTTTTTCCTACAGGCAAAAACACATCAGGTGGGACAGGTGGAAAGATGGCTTGCCTCGGGTTCCACAAGTTCTTAGGTGAGAATGAACCCTTGGGTTTCCCAATCATACCAAAATACCTGTAATATCTAGGATATGCAGAAATTAAACTTGAGGATCTTAAGGAATTTTGTAATAGAAAACTTGGGCATTTCGTATGGGAAGGACAGAGGGGTAAAAATTTGTGTTTCTAGATTTCGACACACTTCAATAACAGGTTAGTTTGGAAGCAAAGTTCCATTGTAAATATGTGTCCAAGTGTACCAATTTCTTTCTAAAAGCAGAAGTAAGTATTGTAAAATTTGTATTTTATCAGCTACATACAGAAGATATTATGCACATATCATACACATAAAACTAAGCTGCCTTAAATAAAAATGAAGTGATAATTTAGGCAAGTCAGCATCTGCAGAAAAGTCTGGTACATCTCAATTATGGTAAAATTAAGGGTGCAAGGAAAGTGAATATTGAACTACTAATATTAAAACTAAGTCACAGCCTTAGTTTAGTTGGTAGAATTTCTTTGTAGTTTTCCCACACAATGGAGATTCATTACTAATTCAGTGAAGGCATAAACTTTGTACACTGAACAAATTAAGCACTTTACTTGAGTCTGCATTTTGAAAAGACAAAATACAGTATTTCCAAAGAGATGACATAAGTAGCTCATCGATATAGCTATATATAGGCCAGGATTCAGTTTTTTTCTCTTAAAGGCTGAATTTCCCAAGACATAGAAATAGCATGAATGATACAGAAGTGTAAGTAAAGCAAGATCAGATTCTCCCAAATTTCACACTTGCTCATAAAATAATAAAAATACTACTGAAATTGCACAGTAATTGGTGCATCCAATGCAAACATTATGATCCTATTAATTTCTTAGTGAATACAATGTATTATATTATTACGTGAAAAAAAAAATCAAATTGAAGAGGAATAGAGGTATTAAATACTAGCCTTTACCATTAAAAAGTGCAAATAAATTGTGCATTACATGGTTTAGCTTACTAATTGTATTGTATAAATGAATGAACTTATCCTTTTTTTTGGGTGTACAACCTAAGCCATGTAACAACTTTGCACAATTTTGTCTGACCATGAAACTTTATGATATATTTACCCTAGACTAAACATAGTTGCAAGTTTTAGACCACAGGGAAGACTTCTGAAGAGGCTTACACTCCATGTGCATTATTCCTAGCTTTAACTCAGTGTAATTAAGCACTGTAAGCACTAAGACTAGCTCTTCAAGGAAAATGATTTTTAAAAAATCAAAAAAATGCAGCTAAAAATTCATACCAACACATAAAAGGACTGCTGAATATTCAAAAGGCTGAAATTATGGATACTTCTTGCAGTACTATAATTCTGTGAGAAAATACAAGCCTAAATAACCAAATAAGTTTACAGATACAGTCCTTCTGATATATCATTAGCATTAAAAATGTCAAGTAATGATACTGGCTTTTCTATTAACTTTTTCTCAAATATGAACAATCATCAAGCGTTTAGACTTCAGTATTGTACTTGGAACAGTGAGGTACAACCCCCTCAGCAAGGTGGGTAGCTGAGCAGGAGGTGCTGATCTCCTCTCCCCAATGACCAGCGATAGCACACGAGCAAATGGAATAAACCTGCACAAGGCCAAGCTCAGGTTGACACTGGGAAAAAGTTCTTCAATGAGAGGGTGGTCAATCCCTGGAACAGGCTCCCCAGCGAAGCTGTCAAGGCACCAAGCCTGTCAGAGTTCAAGGACCATCTGGAGTCATATGGTTTAGTTTTAGGCAGTCCTGCAAGGAGCAGGGAGTTGGGACTCTATGACCCTTAAGGACCCCTTTCAACTTCAGATATTCTGTGATAAATCCATTCTGCAGCATGGCCCAAACTTCAGGCCAACACGCTTACTTGGTAGTCACTTAATTTTAGTTTTTCTGATTATCAAATATTCACAAGGGTTCTGATAGTCTTTCCTTAACTACAATTCAGATGCTCACATCGAGCCTTCATGCAAAATCCCACTGCCATGTAGCTTGGAACCCCAGCCTGGGGTACTTTAATACTTTTAAAGTATTAATATTATTTTCCTCCAAGACCTGAGCAAGGCTCAGTTCTCATTCAAAACACAGATACTTGCAAAAGCATTGCAATCGTAATGCTAAGAGGCTGGGACACTTTTCCAGAAAGTGGAAGACCTCGATTCAATGTCTTCAGAGCCCTTGGAAACATTGCCCCTCCTGTTTTCCACCTCCTCAAGTAGAGCACTAATGGTCTACCAATTTTGTGGAATAGAGGGAAAGTACTTTATCCTGCACTTTTTCTGTTGGTAACACTTCGAGATCAAGATTGCCTGTAAAAAGTTGAATCCTTCATACCCAATATGCACAATACCTACCATTTTTTTCAGCAAAGGCAATGGCATCTTCTTTAGTAGAGAAAGTAAGAACCATGTTGGATAAAGGATCAGCTCTGTAAGAAATCAGATGACAAATTCTAAGCACATTTGAAATATAAAATAATTGTATCTGTATCTCAGATGCTATTCAAGTGCTGTATTACACAACTTTTTGTAGTACATTTCACAAGCCATTAAAAATCCCTTTATTTTTAATTATTTCCAGGATTAACACTTTCTTCCTGCACAGTATGGTTTTACTTTTCAGTTTGTTAAACTTCCCTCCCAACCCCATGCAGAAATTAATTTTTTAGGTTTTTTATTAGACAAACATGTCTAACCTGCTCAGGTTATAATAAGTTCTCTGCAACAAACTTTTTTCATTTTTAAAGCTGTGTAGTCCCTCTCTTTTTGGAAGATCTGGAGGCTTAAGGTTATTTTGAACATTTCAAGGAGACCAAGAGTCTGTAGATCAGCTGGGGAAGAATGATCTTATACAGAAAAGAGCAGAATGTCCAAGTGAGCAGAGAAAGCATTAGTCAGAAACTGAAAAGTACGCAAAAAACCTCAAGAGTTCAGCTTTGGCTGAACACGACCTCCAGGAATTATTCCAGTACAGCATGCACATCTCAGGCCACCACTGAAAATGAAGCTCAGAAATGCAAACTGCTAGCTAACTAAATACACAGTGGTTAGTTTTAGATTATCAGCTGTTCCTCAACTTGCTTCTGAAAGGAAGCAAACAGCAAATAGCTCTTTGAAACAGATTAAAATCTCATTTAGAAAACCAAACCGCCTTATTTGTTGCTATAAAAGCTCAATTTAAGAACAATGACACAGTATGAAAAAGAAATATTCTAAAAATTAATCTACAAAACTTTCAGAGAAATAAGTTACCGGTTGTAGCAGCACAATGATTAGACAATGCTTCCATGAGACAACACTGCACATAAGCCTAGGAGACAACTGGGAAGACTAGACCAAATTGCAACAAACTATTGAAGGAGCTGCCTCTCCAGCATTCTCTCTTTGAAGCTAGAAGGGTAAATGAAGAGAAAAAGCAACCAAAGATACATTGAACTCCCTACAATAAAGGACAAAGCCTGTGACTGGCAGAGGGGGAGGGAGGGAATCTAGCTTCCAGCAAAGACAACAATGTAATTTTATCTGATGTACAAATGGAAAAAATGGAGTTCAGTATATATCCAATATATTCCCCAATAAAAAAACCCCAAAAAACAAAACAGGATAAAGGCAGAAATTACACTTTCACAAGCCACTAAGATAGACTCTCTTGAAGACATTTAAAGATTTCCCTTATAAAGGCTGTAAGGAAAATTATGAACCAAGAATTAGTCCACGACGTGATCAGTGGTGAATCAAGTCACCCAAATATATGAAAATATTGTGACAACTTTTGCTTATTGTTCTTCTCTTCCACAACTGGGGAAAAATTTTCTCAACACTACCAAGTGGGAATAAAGAAGTTTAAGTCTGAAGTGTAGTGAGGGACTGGTGCCTGTTCAGTTACTGCAAGTTGGGTGAAAATCTTCCAGGACACGGTCAGTTTGGAAATGAGGATTGTGCAGAAGTGATTTGTTCTGTTTACACGCGGGATCATCTTTCTTTCATCCAATGTACACACAGCTTTTTGATTTCTTTCCATAAATGTGCTACCTGTGTGTGTAAGCCAGTGATTCAGGACGGCCAGCACCAGCACCATGCCCGGGCAGGGTCAGCAGCAGTCCCTCTGCCTGCCCCGAGATGCCTTACTGCACGCTGGGATTCCCCCGTTTGGTTCTCTTATGTCATCTTGCACAATGGAAACCAGGCATTTTCCATGTTTCTTTGTTTACAGCTTTATGTTAAAAGATGTACACAAGAACCATAGCCATTCCTGTACTGAAACCTACCGACTGAGAAAACAATAACGCCATGGGTCCGTTTTCTTTCAATCTACATCTGGGTAATTTTCACTGAAAAGAAAACTATATCCAAGAAATTACAAAGGCAACAAAAAAAGCACATGAGACTGTAAAATGACAGAAATAGGTACAGGTAGATAAGTACATTGAGTTCAGAGGAAAAGGGCTGTAATCCCTAGACCCTAAAGGGCTCTAATCCACTTTACATTATTCAAAAGTAAATGGGAAAACTTCTAAGAACTGTTCTTTGCAGAAATTAAATCTGAAGAGAAGAAAGTCATAAGTATTTCTGTGTGTTGAACGGTAATTTGAAATTACCAGACTGTCTGCTAATAGTTTTTGCGAGAATTCCTTAAAAAATGGAACAGGTACAAACTAGTTTACAGAGGCCTGAACCTCGCAGTATCAATTCTCAAGGCAGCACTTGCTTTTGGCCTGCCTGGAGCTCGCTTACACGGGAAAAATTCCTTTCCCTACCCCAAAATAAAAATGCATGCAGAGATGGACTCATTCAAAACAGCCATTCCTTTTTAAATTCCCACAATAAACTCACTCTAGGACATTTTAACATACAGGTAAGCCCTTAATACCATGGCTCATTTTTCTAGGTGGTTTATTTCGCACAAATGGTTGTAACTGTTGTAAAGGTTAAAAGCCATTGTTTTGGCTGAGATCATGCAAAATCCCACCCAGAAAATAATTTGTCTGGGGAGGTTAAAGTCAGCTGAAAAGCAAACAGGGATTAGAAGAACAGTTAAATTCAACCTGAACTAAAGCAGGTGTTATTGGCATCTGGCTACAGTGTTATAATACGTGCAGTGGCATAAACAGACCTCACTTTAGTGGCTTGACACTTGGGGGACACACATGACAGGAGAGAAAGGTGTATTGCTGGCTAACAGTCTATCACTTAATTAATTTAGGTCCCATGAAACAACCTGGTCATACTTGCTAAATGTAGCAGCTACTTGCAGTAGTAGAGTCACCCAAAGTATACATGTGTTCAATCACTGAAATCTTATCCTCTGAAACAGCAATTTAAATATGCTTCAGATGAAATGGTGAAAAACACCAGAACACGTCTAAGATGAGGTCATTGTTATATACAGACCCAAAGTTTTAGAACAGATATTTTAACAGACTAGTTTAACACAATTAAGGTTTTAATTGATACTCAGTACTTTTTCTTCGACTAACAATAGTTGAGCATGGCTTCCCTAACGCTTTGCAATACCACTACAACAGAGATGTTGCAGGTTGTGAGCCTCCTCAATTTTTCATGGGAAACCAACATAACAGGAAGACTTGATTTCAGAGTAATTTTGAACTAATATTTCTAGATACATTTATTGTATAAATAAGTAAGAAAAGAAAAAAAATTCTGTGATCGTACTTAGAGTGTTAATAAATCGCAAAAAATGCATCCTCAAACTATTTCATATTTAAGTTTTTAATGGTTTTTACATAGAATTTTGTGCTCTTTCATCATAAGTGCTATATGATTGCAGCCAGACATTTTCAATTCATATTGTATCCTTTCTGAAGTTTGAAAAATAATCTCTAGGGCTGATTTTTGTTTACATAGAATAATTAACTTTTCTGAACATGCCTCAAACAAGACAGTTTCAAATCAAAATTACAGTATTGTCATGAGAATTGCTATTATAGTCCTCACAGTTTAGAGGAATTCTAACCACACTGTAAAATGAAGGTCCTATATGTACATATGGAAAGAAGAATTAAAAATTAGCTGCATCCAAGTTACCGTTACCTCTCCAAATTACAGCATATTTAGCTAAGATTAGTTCTTTTCTGGATTTTGGCATATTTAAGAGTTTTTACTCCTAATATTAGCGACAATGGAACAGTCTAATATTTTAAATAGCTTGGGGTATTTTAAATTAGTTGTGGTTCCTTATTTCAGATCTTAGGATATTTATAAAACTTCATAAAAAAAAAAAATCAAGAAGCTAAGTATTGTTATCTTACGTTTAACCAAATTTAGAAGATGCAACTGCAAGCTGAGAAGGATTTACTGCTTCAGGTAAACTAATAATCTTATCTTCCTGATGCTGTCATTTAGTAACACCACAAATGTAATCATTAAGATTTCTGGTTGTCAAACTGTTTTTTCAAACTCTTCCAGATGATGTTGTGAGCTAAAATCTGTTTTTAAGCATAACAGATCATTATTCATACGACTAACATACCAAATGACTTACTGTACGTACTGTTAAAACAAAAGTAGATTTACAGGTAGAAAGCACATTTCAAACTTAAAAATTTACATGATTATTAAGAACAAAAGTAAGTAACTACTCACGTAGATGCCCAGCCCATTAAAGGGTTCTCCCAGCGCTCCCTGTTATCAAACTCCATCTTCCATTTCTTTGTATTGTTAACTCCTGCCTGCATTGCATTACGTGCTGGAACAAAAATGTGAACTTTTCTGGTTTTGATATGCTCATCTGGAACACCAGTTAAAGCAGTAATATCCTATGAAAAACACAATGGAATTTGTTAAAAGAGGGTTCATATAAAAGGCTTATAAAATAATACTGCTTATGCTTTTTACATAATTTAATGCTTTATTTCTATTTTTTAAGTTACAAAAAAAGAAAAAAAATTGCAGAAAAGTAAGCTGTATAGAAGTGAAGCTGATACATGGTGGGGCTGCTATCATCCTGCCTTCCCTGCCTGAATTAGATTTTGCATGGATTACTTAGCTGAACCTGCTCATCTCCCAGCTCCACAACTGCTAGGGCCAGAGGAGGGACAGGACATTCCCTCCCATCCTGACCACAGCTGAAGTGTCAGGTCTGCTCCAACTTGCACCAGCTAAAGCAAATGTTGGAGTGTATAAACTTTTCTTTCTCCCTTAAAGAAAACATTAGCACACAGACCGAAACACTGACAAATCCTGAATTTTACACTACCTTTAGGAGCCTAAACTTTGTAAGAACAGGACTATTCAAAATCCTATCCAGCCAGTTACGTGCTGCAGTGCAACTGCTTTCACTTGGGCTTAAGTCCCTATATAATTAAGAGGCACCCACATCCACTCCGACTCAAGAAGCTATGATTAGCATGTAGGAAGAGGCAGGAGGTTATCTTTCGCACAATAATCTATTAACTGTTTCAGACTGCACAGCAGGTACTAGAATTCAGCTCTCTTATTTCTCTAACCACTAGTTATTGCTTAAAGTCGACCTGCTCATCATGTTTAAAGCTATGAATATCAGCTTTTGATAGTCAATTCTGTTGATGTTCAAGATTGAGACAGGAACATTTAATACTGGTAACATTCTTTGGTAGTTTTGTGAAAGACAAAAGGATTCAGGAAATTTCAATTTTCAAAGGAAAAAGAAGTCTTGTAATGTTGTATACGGTCAGTAGCAGGCTGCCTTCCTCTACCAAGGCTTGGCTTGTGAGCCTTCCACAAATGAACTTAACAAAGATAAAAATTGGAGGATCACAAAAAAACCCTAAAAATATTAACTGACAATGAATAAGGTAGAGAAAAACCTCACAAGAATTGCTATGAAAAATTACCCTCACCAGCATCTGATATAATCAAAGTGAACTTTCTCGCTAAAAACTAAACAGTAATTACATAAAATTAACCTGTCAGTTCACCCTAGTAGACTAAAGAGTGAACTCAAACATCAAATCCATCTCTAAGGATGCTAAACTACTCCTGTTCCTTACATACTTAAAAAGGCCAGTGGGAGCTCCTTGGTCTCCCTCCGTGCCCTCCCCTCCTCTCTTCTCTCCAGGAACAAGTAGTAAATTGGTAAAAGTCCAAAAAAGTGCAGCAAGACATTGGGCATATTGAACTCATCTCCCCAGTACTGCTATGACTTGAATTAAAAACCAAACAAGTTTAAATAAAACATTGTGGCTTTACATGTCTGTAGCTACTAATTTTATGGGATTTTGTTTTGTGGCAAACTTTTAAGCTCTTGGTGCTGTCACCAAATCATCCTTTGAAATGAGGCAAGTCTCATTTTTCATTTTACTTCACAAAATAAATTTTGGGAGATCAGTCCCTCAAACTACACAAGGGAACAAGTTTAAAGCATTTGACTTGTATTTGAAATTAGAACAGCAGGGGAAACAAACAAACACTATGCACACTAATTTCCAACTTGTGACATTTCTACCCAGACTACCAAAAGAAACTGTCAAAATATCTTAACAATTCCATTATAAAAGCTTTCATTAGGACCAAGTAATGTTTATTTTTAATATGAGTCTAGCAGTGATATGAAAAAGAAACACTACCAGCCACTGGAATGTTGCAACACGTATGTTAAACACCGCCTGACAGACTAGCATTTCTGATTGCTGAAGCTTAAGCCACAGTTTTAGAAGGAAATAGCTTAAAGTTTTCTTATTTGAATTGGCAAAGTACTTTGTTTAAGAAAAAGGGGTTTTTACCTGCAGCAAAGTTTGGTGGGGCTGCAGTTTTTCAGCCTGCCTGTTTATAGGAATAGGCTACTAAATTAGTCTTTATTTCTGTATTTAGCAAGCATGTCTATTGATAAAATGTAAGAATATTCACAAAAAAATTCTTTTCCCCCTCTGAAATAATCTGCTATATGCAAAAATTCTGGGTTTCTTATAATCAAATACCTCCAAATATGCAACTACGTTAAATAACATGGGCATACACAATTTGCTCTTTTGAAGCCTTCACACCAGATAATCATAAAAATACTACACATTAGAGTGTACATAATACAATCTAAAAAGAGTATTAAAAACGAAAAAATGCTATATATACAAGGTAATTGTAATAAAGAAATGCCTAGACTTGTTCATCTGGATGAAAATAAAACCAAAAACCCAGACAAACTGTAAGTCCCTTCGAGTCATGTTTTTTTGGGCACTCAGCTGGCTCCAAATCAAAGTTATTTCACTAATAATATAGGATTCACCCCATAAAAATCTTTTCAAGGTGAAAACTAAAACCTGTCTACTTTCTGAAACTAAAATATCTACATGGCGTTGCTAGCTCTTCAGACTTTGATTCATTATAGCTAAAGTTTCCATGCCTTCTGGGAATCTAGCAATTGTTTATTGATATCTTCCCCATTTTAAAGCTGGCAATTGAACAGACAGTTGTTAGGACAATGAGCTTCTGGTTTCTGAAGCCCAAGTTGTCCTGACATAAAATCACTGTTTTTGCTTGCTGTAGACATGTAAGGTACTGTAGCATAGCTGAGCTGTTGCCAAAGATATGGAATAAAAAGGCTTGGCATCTATCACATACTTGACACCTAAAGAGCACAGAAGCTCTAAAATTCCTATTCCCTGTAGGCGCACTCTTAGTCTAGACAAACTGATTTCTCACACTTTTAAAATGCATTACAACACTCTATTGTGATCATTTCATCCACAGAGCTCCAGCTAGTGACAGAAGAACCTGTCCTTTAAGCGACATTTCAATGGGCTAAAGCTCCCGCTCCAAGATGCCATTAAAACAATATAATACTTGAAAAGAACTATGCTGCACTGGGTTGAACCCTTTACTGTGTCTTCAGTGCTTTGTTCTGAGTTCAAGTTCTCATTGAAACTACCTGTGAACCAACTTTCCAAAACAAAGATGTTTTTGACAGCTGGTTTCACATTACTATCTCTTTTTAAGTGTTCCTTACTGAATTTTGTTATATTAGCATATTAAAATACTAGTGAGGTGTTCGGCATTCAAAATTCTAAATAATAAGGTGACAATATAAAAGACTTGAGATTTGAACTGTATAGGTTTGCTTTACTAAAAATTAACAGCCCTGCTTCAATTTTTTAACACATCCTGTCATCTAAAAGGTGCATCTGACATTGTTTTTCTTGATATATATAGAGGTGAGGTTTTTTAATAGCAATCTCTGAATTATTTGTAATTCAAAAAAATTAACATACTCATTTTAAGGCATTTTGGCTCTTCTTGGAGTAAGCTCGGAGACAAAACACTTTTCTAAATAGCAGAAATCACATCGAATTGCTTACAAATGAAGAGGAGGTTTTGTCTTTATTATAATTTACACTATTTAAGAACACTTGTCATGGTGGAAAGCCTGGTAAAGCTGTTCTGGAAAGAGTAATAAGAAACGATAAATGTGCTACGCAGCAGGGAGAAAAACTGGTTCACGGAGGCAGTGTCAATGAAAGCAGTATTCGGCATGAAGATAACTTTTAAAGGAAATGAGAATTTCCTTCTTTTAAGTACTCCACTAATAGCACAAATTCCAAAGGGGACAAGAAATGGAAATCTGTAATTCAAGGGAAAAAGACAAAATGGTTCAAAGTACCTCTGAAAACAAGTGTTTTTGAATGGGTGGGTCAGGTGTGCATAAAGGTGTCATCATTCTCCTATGACATTTCTTTCCACACATAGATAAAAACTGTACATAACCACTATCAACTATCTACTGTTTAGCACCCCCACTCTTTTTTTTTCAATAAAGGAAACAGGGAACAAGCAATGGGAAGTTGATGTCAAAACACAGAAAAACCTCCCAGCAAGCTTCCAGCAACCACCCAGGATTTAGAGTCTTGCTAGCCGCTCTCTTTTCAATACCAGAATTTCACACATTTCAATGACCATTATGACTTCAAAGAATCAAATTTTCATCATTGTCCGTCATCTGCCGGTTGATTTGTATAAAGGAGTTCTTCTGCATGCACTCCAGACAAAGGGCTCCTTACTTTCGTGGCTATATATCAAGTTTAAAAGTTCTGTTTGTGACAGTTGTGTCTGTGGTAAATTAGGGTAACACTGAAGGAGTGCAGCTGCTCTGCAGGAACCTCCTTTTTGGCATCATTTCACTTAAATAAAAACTGAATAATTAGCTTCTGCCTTTATTAAACCGCAAAAATGCCACTGGCCTTAGTAATTACTTCCGGTTGCCCCACCTACTTAACCTCAATAGTTTACACTTGTTAGAAAGGAGGGAAAGTAGAAGTTTTCTTTACTTTATAAAAGTTTACAACAGCTTGCTCTCTTCCCCACCCCCTATGTGTTTTATCAGACTAAGCACATAAAGTTTTGCTATAAATTCATGTTGTAATACATTTTCTTTAGGAGCTGTTATATCAAAGCACAGAACATCTTGCGTAATATCCACAAAATAGCTGCTGTGAAAGGAGCTTTTTATTTAGTGCTCAGCTGCTTAGGCTGCACGTCAGGATGAGAACATTCACGCTTCTACACTTCAATACAGTATTTTTGAAATAAATGTAAAAGAGTAGAATCTACTATGCAAATCAAAAGTGGAAAAATGGAGCAGAATAAACTAAATGTGGTCAGTCGACATTTATCTAACAGCTACAGACATAAAACGGGAAAAAAGCATATTTGCCCTTAGGAAACTCTGTATCACACAGAATACAGTTTTCTTTCAGGCTTCACAACCATTTTGAATTACCACAGTAATCTGTGAACAACATGGTGTTACCCGTAACGTGTCCTCCCATGCAAACATCCTGCAGAACGA